AATCATACGTGAGCAGAGTAAACAGGAGGGGGCTCAACACACATCCCAGCTGTCCTAAGTGAAACTTATCCCAGTTTAGACCACTTTTAACAAAACTGTCCTAAATTAAACTTATCTCAGTTTATACCACTTTTAAGAAAGCTGTCCTAAGTGAAACTTATCCCAGATTCAAACCACTTTTAATAAAGCTCTCCGAAATTAAACTTATCCTTTTTAGAACACTTTTAACACAGCTATCCTAAATGAAACTTATCCCAATTTAGACCACTTTTAAGGAAAGCTGTCCTAAGTGAAACTTATCCCAGTTTAGACCACTTTTAATGAAAGCTGTCCTAAGTGAAACTTATCCCAGTTTAGACCGCGTTTTAAACAGTTGTACTAAATTAAACTTTTCCCAGTTTAGACCACTTTTAAGAAAGCTATCCTAAGTGAAACTTATCCCAATTTTATACCACTTTTAAACTTATCTCAGACTTAGGCCACTTTTAATACAACGGTTCAAAATTAAACTTATCCCAGACTTAACCCACTTGTAATAAAGCTGTCCTAAATGAGACTTATTCAAGACTTAGACCACTTTTAACTCAGATGTCCTTTTTTTTTTTTTTCAAGGTTCAAGGTTTTTAATTGTCATTTGCATCACCTGTGGTACATGAGGTGGAACAAACTGTGTACTCAAGGTCCCACTTACACCCAAACATAGCAAAAATATGAACGGTATATTAAACAGCAGCCTGAACCTGAGTCTGTTGTGAGCAGATAGGTATGAATACATCAGCTTAAAGGTAAGAAATCAGCAGCATGGATAATCAGCAGCACAGATAAAGTGTCAAATCTCCAATTACCTGTATAAAGGGTAAATGAAAAAATTATAGTGATTATCCTGGTTAGAGATTCATGAGTCTAACAGCTTCAGGGTAGAAGCTGTTCCTCAGTCTACTGGTTCTACACTTAATGCTCTTCAACCTTGTGTGCTGGGTGAGTGGGGTCCTTCATGATGCAGGTGACCCTCTTCCTGCATCTGGAGGTGTGTGATGGTGGGGAGTCGGACTCCAACAGTATTCTGTGCAGCCTTCACCACCCTCTGCTCACTCAACAAATGCAATTTTTTCCAAGTCAAGTCAAGTCCCAGACTTAGAATGCTTTTAATACAGTTGTTCTAAATTAATCTTATCCCATTTTAGACAACTTCTCATAAGGCAGTCTAAAATGAAACTTACCCCAGACTTTTCCCACTTTTAACACAGCTGTCCTAAATGAAACCTAATCCAGACTTAGACTACCATAGTTTTAATAAAGTTGTCCTAAATGAAACTTATCCCAGTTCAGACAACTTTTAATAAAGCTGTCCTAATTGTAACTTGTCCTAGACTTAGACCACTCTTTATGCAGCTGTCCTAAGTGAAATGTGTCCCAGATTTAGACTAGTTTTAATGCAGCTTTTTCCTTTTCAGTACTTCCTCTCTGAGCCTAAAATCTGGTATTTTTGTGTCTATTGATACCAGGGGCGTCAGAAGCATCTGTAATGTTGGGGGGACACAGTGGTGTGTGTGCGTGTGCACGTGCGTGCATGCGCGCGCACCAGTTTACAAAAAAATGTGTAGTGTACAATAAAGCAACATTTCACCTAGCACACATTTAAAGCATGTTTCTCACTAAGTTTGTGTAAATTTAGCTGTGGGTTTTAAAGACTTTTCAACTTTATGCATGCTCAATAATCCAGGTTGAAAAAATCCAAAAAAGTTAAATCTGGTCCTCTGGACATTCAAAAAAACAAAACAAAATATTGTAGAAACGTTTCGTCTTTCATCCAAAAAACGTCCTCAGTCTGAGATGTTGTATTCAGCTCAGTCCTATAAATAGCACCTTCTCGTAGTGGATCAACCAGTTTGCTGCTGACAACCAAAACCAGCTGCTCACATGATCAAGGAGGACCATCAGCCCAACGATGGATCATTAGCGCACTGATGGCTTTTTGCTGTTTAGCCCCTTGTGAATAGTAAACAGCCATCAGCCATGCTGTGTCTGAAGTAAAATCAGAGTTGTCAGTTTAATCGTTACTTTTTTTGAGCTGAAAACTGTGCGCAAGTGGCGTTAAAGTCTTTTCTTCGAGAGCTA